GAGAGAGAGAGAGGGGATGGAGATCAAGGTTCACTTGTACCCAGCAGCCCACTACCTGACAGTGGAGTATCCATCTCGATACTGTCCAGATAAGGATGCAGTACAAGTTGGCATTGCCTTAAAGGACGGATAAAACAATAAATTCGAATGTAATAACGTCACTGGAAAAGACATGGATGTTTATGAATTCTGACAAGACATGTGACATATACATATTCAAATTAATACTTTAATGCATATAATTCTCCATATCGTAGGAACATATAATTAGATGAATAAGTGAGCATCTTTGATGAGAAAACGTTAAAGCACATGTAAAAAAAGATAAAATAAATCAACATAAAAATATCAATCAAATAATAATGCTTCCTACACTAATAAAAGAATTAACCTAGCATATTTTGAATAATGAAATGCTAACCGGAGCTAAAGTCAGACTGATATTCGTGTCCAACAGATTTTGAGTACCTAAACAAGGATATAAATACCGATATCCATCTCCAACAAATTTGTCCAGATGCAATCATATCCGCTTTCAGTTAATAAGCCTACTTATTCCCACCAAATTTTAGTCATCATAATAAATCAAATGGCACAGGTATGAGAATGTTATTTGATCATCAAGTGCAAAGTCGACTTACCTTTATTGTTCGGAATAAAGAAGAAAATTCTTGTCACAATCGTCAGAAATGTTAGCAACTATGGCTGCAAGGAAAAAAGAGCCTAATAACATCATCAAAAAGATTAAAGTGTTAACCATGACAAAATGAATTATTTTGCATTATTCCATATGGTTAGTATTAATGAAATTCAAATAACTAAATGCTTAATAAATTGGGATTTGAAGCACTTATGTGCAAACATTTCCCCCCTCTTTCTCCAGTAATCGGTCTCTTTGTAAAAATGTAACCTTATATCAAGCAACCAGTCAAACCATCTAATTAAGTATAAGCTTCTCTGACATCAGAAGTCCAGTAGTCAACCTTATATGTGACATAAAAAATAATTTTCATCTTTATTAAGTTGACAATGTCATGGAGCATTACAAAGTCTGCACAGCAGCTTAAAGCATTCAAATTGGTGGTTTACCTGGAATTTGTTATTCTGAGTGGCTGTTACCAATAAAAACATCAAAATTAAAATGGCCATCATCAACAGTGCCGTCAGTTTGTCTGCTACCAAAGACTTGAACATTATTAACTGCAGCATCTACACTAAATTAATTTGACTTCTATGTGACACCTATTAAAATGTTCCATCTAATAGGCTAGATGAAATGCCAAAGACTAGGAGTACTAGTCTCAATCCACACCAGAAGAAACTGCCAGGACGTCCCTTTCACAAATTCATGAACCTTACAGAACCAGCTGAAACAAGCAATTGTTTCTTCAACTAGTGATATGTATACCCAGGAAACATGCATATAAGCATTCATCACTAGTCCTAGACACAGGTCGTGGTACAAGAGAATGAATAAAAAAAGGTGCGGGAATTGACGCTATATCGACTGCAGGCACTGACAAACAAGTCGATTTAGCGGAATCCAAGCAAACTATTCGGATATATCAAAAGCTACTATTCTGGAACAAAAATTCAATTTTTCCTATTAACTAATGAATTTTCTACATAAAGAAACATGCACTACCAAGAAAAAAACATGTCAGGGGACAAATCTTTTGGCTAATTTACACATGACCCGAGCATAATAATTTGCTTTGGCATACATCAACTCCACCTGCACTGTCGATGCAATAAATTTTATTACCTTAACAATGTAATTAGAGGATCTATTACACCATAAGTCCTCTAATTTTCAAAGTCAATTACCAACCATGTCCACTGATTAAATGCATGACAGCACAGATTTAGAAAGTCTTCAATTGTTAATTAATTTATAAGCTGCACAAAGTGTTTTTCCTTTTGTACTCTGGGCTCTGAAAGTTGGTCTATAACTATAGATTCATCATAGAAAAGAAATAAAACGTAATAAATCAAGGGAAAGACAAATAGCTTAATCGAGTAACATAATGCAAGATTATGAACAGAACTAACAGCTGGGAAACAAAATCAAAACCTGTTTACATTGAGCAGTGATATCAATTGATACCACACAGCTGACTACTTTTTCTTAGGTTGAGTAGCAGTATCAATTGATATCAGCTCATTTCAAACATCATATAGTTATATTGGTTTCTTCAATACCTTCAACAAGTAGAAGACTTCATGATTTTAAATAATATTCATTCTGCTAGAAGAAATTATCAATCCATGTTCCTTCAATCAACTAATTTCTTTCTACTAGCAACAATTTTTGTAGTTCCAGTATGTAAACACTCTTAAACACATGCACATACATATATTTAGAAATTATACACATGCATATTTGGTTTATCGTATAAAATGCATGCATTAATATGCATGTCTTCCAGTCTGTCTTTTTTGCCCCTGTTAACAAATTACAAAGATACACATGTATGCACTGAGAATCAACACTCAAGACCGTGTATGACACGGCAAAGTGTACTTCTTAAAACATATTAAGAATTAACAAACAGTGAATATGGTATCAATTTGCATAGAATTTACTACTAGATCAAGATGATATTTTATGACCAAAAAACCAAGTAAAAATATAAAGTACAACATGAAATTTGTTCCATACCCTTCAGGATATCACACACACATTACTGTCAGGTTTGCAACAAGTGAAGAAACTGCATTATCTTCAAATTTGACGAAACATAAACCAAAAGGCAAATTGGTAAACAAAAGGAATACAAGAATATGGTATACCTGTTTTTGGTTGCATAATCTTTGGTAGATGCACCCATTTGTCAGGTGTATAAATCGATATATTTTCATAGTATTGAAAGCGGCATGATGCAGATATCCACCCACATGGACCATCAACCTCCACAGGTAAAATATTCTTTTTCAACTCAGCAAGCAAGTAGTTTCCAAGAGAAACTAGTAAGAAAAGATGGTTTTAAGTATTAGCTTCATAGGCTCCATTAATCAGACCTTCAACAAAAGAAGTAAAGAAATGCATGGACAGAGGTGTAGCCTGGATTTCATATTAAGGAGCTAAAAAATATAATGATTCCCTGGTATGTTTTTTTTTTTTATTCCATGATGTTATGTTTCAATTGGAAAGAACAAAGACACATATATGCGAACAAGCTGAAGAAATAAATTGAAGAGTCTAAATATAGAGGTTCTCAACCAGTTAATAATAATCGCAACAAATTTCGCTAAACCAACTACATGCCACCAAAATACCTCAAACCATGACATGAAAGCTTTGGCTAAATTGTCAGCTACATGAAAATTTCACAATGCTATATCACCCAATGTAACAACTTATCATGTATTTTCTCACTGTTCCTATTGAACTCGATTTGGTGACCTTTTTGTGGTGTATATTGTATGATTTACATAATGTTCATTAAGTGGCGGACCACAGTATCTTTATTGTCTATCTCTCAACCGCTTCAAGAGGTGTTTATTCCCCCCACTCGATTGTATCTCCAATTTCATGAACATGATTGACTTGTACCATCCTGATAAAGGATGACTATATCACTGAAACAAGTATATTCATGCATTTACGAGACCAGTGCGAGCAGATAATGCAGATACTTTTTCTTTCTGTGGATCCCAGTTCCTCTTAATTCTCCAATCCTTAGTCCTACAAAATTTTCCTTAGCTGATTCCTTTTAGTTCTAGGGTTTGCTATTTAATCAAGATCTTCTTAAACTTCACTCGTAGCCAATGAACAACAACACAAGTTTTGTTCGTCTCCAGGTTAGTTTGTTTCCAAATTGTTTCCATGGTCGTTTTTCCTAATGCGAGATACTAGCCCTTAATCATCTCAATTACTTCTCAACACATAACAAATCATTTCTTGCCTACGTATTTACAAAGCATGATCCCCCATTCCCCCTCCTTGTTACCAAGAAATTTTTAGGCCTTACGTGAAACAACCGGCAAATCTTCACGACAACAAGTACACAGACTAAAGAGATGAGCATAAAGCGTGTGTGACAAAGACTAAAGAGATTGCGGTACCTTCTTCATGTTTCCCATTTCTCTGTGGCATTCAGTACAACATCTTCTAATCATGGTCAAGTTTAATAATGCCCTAGATTTCTTTGGAGCCATAAGATCGAACCAGAAAACATGTATCCATCCATCACAAGTTTCATAGGATCAATTAGTACCGACAGATCTGACAAAGGCTAAAGAGGAAAGACCAAAATAGAAGTAAACGGAAGCGGGGACTAGATGAATCAAACCCTTGTCAAGGAGAAACCAGCGATGCATCCGGAACTCGAGCATAAATAGAACAAGAAAGAGAGAAAGAAGGGAAGAGGATCAACGAGGAGGTCGACAACGGAGCAGGGGGGACTGAGTTAGCCTCCGTCTCGGAGGCGCCGGCAACTTGGATCGGAGGACTCGATGATCGCGACGATGGAGGCGAAAGGGGAGGAAGGGCGGGACGGAGAGCGAGAAATATGGCTTTCGCGGGTCATGGGCCGGTCCACACGATGCTTATAACGATTCCATCTTGAACCAAACCGCCGGGTTCAAACCAGGATGAAATTTCTAAATATATGTATATCACTCCTAACAGTATGATTGATTCGCATATATCTTATTGATGACCGGAATTTCAACTTTACCATCGAACTTATATATGAAAATAATTATATTGTTGGTATTATATATATATATATATATATATATATATATATATATAGTTTTATTGTTCCAATCCATTAGATTATAACCCTTTTTTAATTCATTTTTATCGAATAAATTATTTGGTTTAGAATTACAAAGCCGTTGTTGGCTCAGAAATAAAGCGTCAAAGAAGATGAGAACGCAAAACTGCACAAGCCATTTTGTTGCACTTGAATTATTATTCCACAAGTTGTCTGGATTACAATCAAAAGGGTGGGAGGATCCACAGACAAATTGACTACTTAACACACATTACCACAGTAAAATAAAAAAGGTGCAAGAGATGCATACATACATGTAGTCACACTAGCAAACACAACAACTACGACAAAAAGAAGAAACCCTTCTCGCTCGGAACCTGACAATTGCCGCTGTGGTCATCGGGACATGCAGCTTTCCTTGGTCACGAGAGAGGGGGAGAGAGAGCGTACGGAAGCTACTTGCCTAACAAGCTGGAAGATCCTTGGGGGGTGGCTGAAGGGACTCGTTTGGTCCTTTGCCATCTTCCACGACGAACGCCATTTTAAGCCCCCATGTTGTGTGCACCTCGAAATGGCAGTGCAGAAACCAAACACCTGCATCGACGCACCCGGTGGTCATGGAGCGTGTCCAATGTTCTCACGGAGTAGAGAGGAAGAGAGGAGGAGCAATGGTGTGAAATACCTGGGTTATCCGCCCTGAATCTTATGGCGGTCCATCCGGCGGCGGGAACGGCCATGGTGTTCCTCTCGATGGGGTCGACGAGATTGAACTTGGAGGGAGATGTTGCGGGGTCATAATTGCCGACGCCCCTTCCGACCACGAAGAAGTTGTAGCCATGTAGATGGATGGGGTGGCTCTCCGGTCCTATGATTCCGGTGTCCTGGAGAACGAGTTGCACCGATGCGTTATAAGGAAGGCGATAGAGCCTCGTGCCGTTCATGGTCTGCGTGTTGTTGGGGCCACTACCCGTGTAGTTGAAGGCTATGAGCGGCTGCCCGGGGAAGTCATTGGTGAACACCCCACTCATGTTGAAGTAATGCGCCTGGAGGAGCGCCGTCGTGGGCATCATGAAGGTCACGTTGTTCATGGCCGCCACCACCCGGCTCCCATTGGTACAGGCGGGGCACGGGTTCACTCCGAGACCCACGGTGAAGAGAAGAGAGTGATCCACGGTGGACGGCACATTCGCAGGATACTGCTTCGAGTTCAGGCTGCGGAGGGAGTCGATGAATTGGGACGCCAAGGAGGTGGAGTTCCGAGGAGGAAGCTTGGTGGTGGCGATGGCAGACGTAGAGACAGCGTCGGTGTACTGCACCGTGGCCGTCCCCGTGCTGTTATCCACCGCGACGAGCGGCGAGTCCATGAACGGGGAGGCGGTGACCAGGTATCTGCCGGCGCCTTGGTCGGCGGTGAGGAGGACGTTGGTGGTCTGGCCAGGGGCGATGAGCAGGGTGTCGATCGTGAAGGGCTTGGTGTAGGTGGCGTCCACTTCGACCACGGTCATCAGATGGCCGGCGACCTTGAAGAAGAGGTCGTCATTGAGTGCCGCGTTGATGATCCGGAGCAGATACGTCTTGCGTTGGTCCACTCGCAGCGTGAACCCATCTGCGCACGCGGAGAGTTTAGCATGATCAGACCTTGACGCCTCGAGACATGCATTCATCTGTTCAAACTACGATGGTTCGCATATCACCTCGTGCGGAAGAAGCACAACCGGAGGTAGGCCCCGCGTGGCCATTGATGGTGTGGGCATCGGATACATTGGGACCGAGACCTGACTGCAGAGCTTCGTTTATGACGGCTTCAACGTCCGATTTCCACCACTCCGCTGAGATAAAGTTCAAGCAGCAAGTTAACGTCTGCATCACGTAAATATGAAGCACCGAGTCAGAGTTCAACCGATACCCAAGACGAGGACGACTTCTTTGTGAGGCGCGGGGAAGGGATAGGGAACGCCGCGTTTGGGGAGGATGACGATGGCGCCATGGACCGTAGCTCTCTGCCACATGATGTGGGCGTGCCACAGCAGCGTGCCGCGCTGGCCCGTGAGGGTGAAGTTGTACGCGTAGTTCTGGCCCGGTTGGATCGGACACTGCGTTACATAGGCTGGGCCGTCAGCCCAGCCCGTCGTGAGCTGCCTAACCCCGTGCCTGCGAACAAAAACAGTGAGAGCGTTCGACGGAGAGGAAGCGGGAAGCATTTCGTCGAACACACAACGGCCTTAGGAAGGAGAGAGAGGAAGGAGAAGAAAGGAAAGTCGGTACGGTTTGCTTAAACGGTGCGCAACGCAGCTAAAAAGGGAAGTTCATGTCAGGCGTTTGGTGAAGTGAGTTGGCGAGAGCTCGTTGGAAGGGATGGAGACGGCTCACCAGTGGATGGTAACGTTTTCCTGGACGTGGTTGGCGACCTTGACGATCACCGTGTCGCCTTCTCTCGCGTACAGAGTTGGCCCAGGGAATCGGCCGTTCACGGTGATGATGGACTTGGGGGAGCAGAGCCGGGTGAAGTTCTTAGCCACCACCTGCGTAGAAGCCGGATATCCATATATAAATGTAGATTATACGTTTGATAGATTATGGACCAATACGCGTTTGTATGTCCAAGATGAGAGCCCGCCATCAATGCCGGCGCGTTCAGAAGGAGATCATACTCACATTGAACTTGTAGTGTCGAGTCCTTCCCTGGGTCAGCAACGGGAGCAGGAAGAACACCAAGATGAGAGCCCGCCATGAACAAGGCTCCATTCTGCTGCTTCTTTCTCTCTCTCTCTCTCTCTCTCTCTACCGAGAAGGTTGGGTTTGTGTGCATGGAACGACCAGGCAAACGCAAGCCTATAAAGGGATTCGGGATTGTAGATGCCATGTCGTTTTTAATTTTAGGTGGAGGAGCCTTGATCGACAAGGTTTTGGTGGGATAACCACAGACTACATCTAGATTTCTTGAATCCCACATAAAGTTCACATATACATCTCTCTCCAGAGATATATTACTTCTGGAATCGACTTCATCGCAGCGGCAGGTCTTTTTCCATCGGACACTCTCAAACACGAACAAAAAAGTGGGTCTTTTGCCAATTAGACACAGAATATTTTCCAAGGACGCTTCTTGTCATATATGGTTTCTTGCCAATGGAAGTAGTCGAGTACTACAGCCAAGTACGTGTGTAATCCTGTATAATGACCATGAGAGGATGCCACGAATGAACATAGGAATATGAAGTCCCGTAAGGAGGGCAATCTATCTGTTAAAGAGAGATGATAGATGGAGATTAAGCTTCGTCGCCATTAATAATAGCTTCTTCGCAACCAGGGGAAGCGTCAACTCGCATGGTGTACACCTCGAAACGTGTTGAGCGAAGAAGAAAAGGTGAAGCTGTGGCGTGCTATTTGACGCACGAGAATGGAGGTGAAATCACAGTCATCTCGTCAGCTGATTTGCCATGCGTTTGAGGTAGTGCTCATCCGCAAGTGACATCTAACCTTTCAAGACATGGATGGGGCAATACTTTTGTCGGCTACATAAAAATGATAACAATTCCCTTCTAAACGGTATTAACTTCAGCATACTCTTTGGGAACGAGAAGAGGCTCTCTCTTGTCTCATGTTGGAGTCCTAAAGCCACTTCTTGCAGGGATGCAAACACATTACATAAACGCCCTCAATTCAACCTCTCATCCGCACACATCATATCTCGGTTTGGATGAACATTATCTTAATCCAATATAGGTTCGATTAAGTATATATTTTTATCATATTAAATGATGTACATAAGATCTATCATATCGATTGGTGCAATGCATTAACAAACACAAATGGAGATGATTAATGCTTTTTCTTGACATATTTGGTAGGTATAGTTAATAGAGATCATGTTGAGAGTTTTGGGCCACAAAGGTGGTGCTCAGGAACATATACATCACTGCAAAAACAAAGCAGCAGGAGAGATTGTTGTTTGCAAAGCTTCCAAGCAAAATCTAAATGCCTTTCATTAGATTGCCAACATAGTGGAACCATTGCATGGCAGACAAGCTGGACTTTAGGTAAATATTTTGAGTAATGTATTTGGTTAACCATACAGAAGCACAAGTTCCTACCTTAGTAACATGAATCATGATTATTGTACTGTTTGTTATGTTAGGGAAAGATTAGATATGTGGAGTTCTGAATTTATGAAAATTATAAATATAAAAAAATTTATATGAATCTAATAAGATATAATTTAATATCAAATATGTTATAAATAATTTATCAATGCAGGAGTGACAGAATACTAAGCAAATCATGAGATAAGATTTACGTGAAAAAACCCTTGAAAAAGATCACGAGTAAATAAGATCAATCTTTTACTATAAAATAATAGGATTACAATATTACTCTCTTTAGATTAACCAGAGGATATTAATGTCATATAATAACTAGATACTCAAATGACGAAGTCCAGCAAGAAAAATTAAGCAAAAGAAGAAATTTAAAGATATACACTAATCGATTCAGAGAATATGATATCTATTTGCATATCAGAAAATCATATAAGATTAGGGTTAGGATTTTTTAATTAACTCATGAGTCTCATCATTAAGTCATAGATAAGACTACTCAACAAATCAGGCTGCTTTTCCTTCCTATGATAGTCACTTTGTAGGTCTTTGCCATCTGACTCATATAAGATTAGGATTAGTATTTTTTAATTAACTCATGGGTCTCACCATTAAGTCATAGAAAAGACTACCCAACAAATCTCCACCTCACACCCACGTGGGAAGATCCTCCATCTCTGCTATCTCTCTACGAGTAATTAGTATTTTTAAATACAATGATTTAGTCACTATATCTAATTTATTCTTATCAATATAGATTTTCTCAAAATATAATAACTATATCACTAGTATATCTCAAATCTAATGATACCTAACATCGATATGCTTAAATCTGAAATGAAAAGTTAGATTTTTACTAAGATAAATAACACTTTGACTATCAAAATATAAAATAAATTTCTCTTGCTATCCTTAATTCTTGTAGATATTTTTTCATCAATACGAGTTCTTTATGAGTTTCTATTGTAACTATATACTCGGCTTTAGTAAAATATAAACTAACATATTTTTGTAATTTTGACGATCAAGATATTACACCTCTCCAAAATGATATCAAGTAATCAGAGATAAACTTTTTATAATTAATATCACTAATCATATCTACATTTGTGTAGCCAACTACCATAAGTTTTTTAATGTCAAAGCACAAACATAATCTAGAAATTCTTCTAAGATACTTAAAAATCTATTTAACTAGTGCCTAGTATTTTTTTATAGGATCGAAGAGAAATCAACTAACATACCAACTGTATGAGTAATATCCTGACCTTATGCATACCATGGCATAGATCAAACTGTTAATTACTCAGGAATATGGTACTCTGTTTATATCATCTTTATATTTATCACTTATAGAATACTTCTCATAACTTAATTTGAAATGACTTACAAGTGAACAACAAACAAGTTTTGACTTGGTCTATTAACTCTGTTAAGAACCTTTTCAATATATCTTTATTGAGATAACTAAAGTTTAATATTCTTCTTGTGATAAATAATTCTTATACTAAGAGTATGTTTAGCCAGATCCAAATCTTTCATAGCAAAAGTGTTGCTCAATTCTTTTTTTAGATCTATAATTGTTTTTAGTATTATGACCAATAATTAAAATATAATCCATATGTAATAAGAGAATAATAAAATTATCATTAAAAAAATCTCATATGGACTACGAATAGAAGTAGTTATCACACCCATGATTTATTATAAAAAATCAAATCTTTTATATCGCTATCTTGATGCACGCTTAATACTATACAAACTCTTTTTCGACTTGTACATCAAATTTTGAACTCTTAAGGTTAATAGCATATATTTAACTTTGAATCATTCGTATTGTTATATATATATATATATATATGTTCTTTTTCTTCTCTAAGTCACTGCGAAAGAAAGCAATTTTCATACTAAGTTATTCAATTTCTATATTTAAATTGATAGCTAACCCAATAACAATTCAAATAAAAGACATATTAAGGATCACTGAGAAATCTTTTTCAAAATCAATCTTGCTTTACATTGAAGCTGTGAATCCACTTTTTTTTTCTCAATATTTATTTGTTTCTATAACGACGCCTTTCGAGTTTTTCTAACTTGTTTAGAATTAAAAATTAATTAATTAATCTTAAGAGTTTTATCACTTGAGTCATGGATGGCATCGGCCAATATATTAAAATCATTTTTGATGATTATGTGGTTATCTAAAATTGGATTTTATTTTAGTTAATTCTAGATTAAATCTTTTATATTTATGACCTCCGGAATACTCATCGAATAGAAAAGGGATAGACTTCTCGTCCCTACAAAACAGATGGTACTGCGGCCTCCAAGTAGTCCAGTGCGCACGCTGGGCACACATCTCACGTTCGGGAAACACCATTATGCGATCCCAATCGATCTTCTCACCTACTCCGACGATACTATCCTTCTAACGCACTCGTTCATCGAGTCCTTTAACTTGGGATGATGATCATATCATTCCATACGAAAACCAGCTTTGTTCTTCCGCCGTTGGTTGGTACGGCTCAGCATTAATTGTTGCTGATGATGAAACGAGGTGGACGCGTTCTGTCCTGCCAACTGTCACTCGACACGCTGGCTCTACGACTGCGCTGTTTGTTGGCGCTGCGGTACGCGTCCGTTGTTCTTGAATGCGATTTGTTAGGTAGGTGGGGTGGGTAGGTGCGGCCGAGGCGACCGGTATGGGGGGCTAATCCTCACCGTCCAATTTGACCCGCCTCTTCATCATCGGACCGTCCCGTTCTCCTGCCACCCCCCACTATTAAGCGGCGGCTTCTTTTCTGTTCCGAGTTCAACCCATCGGTTCCGCGGTCGCTCCCCGCCCTCTCCTCCTGCCCTCTGCCATGGCGGTGGCTTCCTTTACTCCATCGAAATCCTTATGTCGTTCGCATTCCCCGTCTTCTTCGAGGTCCTCACCGCCGTCGATATCGTCTTCCATCGGATTCTCGGATGGCCGTCGTGGCTCCTGGGCGCGGATCGTCTCCGGGGGCTTGGATTTGGCAGGAAGGAGTCATGCGCCAGCGGAGATGCTTGTCGGTAGCACTTCCAAGGAGGCATCGTCGGGGATAGATGGATGGAGGAGGAGGAGGAGGAGGAGAGGTGGTGTTGGGGCGATCATGTGCAGCGCCGACGGGATCGGGAGTGGGTTGGAGATTGAGCAGCAGCAGGGCCTGGCGGCGGTGGTGATCCCGGAGAGGGCGAAGGTGTTGGCGCTGGTGGCGCTGGTCATGTGCCTCTGCAACGCGGATCGGGTGGTGATGTCGGTCGCGGTGGTCCCGCTCGCCTCCCAGTACGGATGGAGCAGCTCCTTCATGGGAATCGTGCAGGTTCGTTTCCTCGGTCCTCCTCCTCCTCCTCCCTCTCCTCTCTTTCTTTCTTTCATTTCATCCGCCAATCATTTACATAATTCGTTCGTCTGTTTCTAAATTAAAGGCGAAATAGAAATGGCTACGCCAATCCTTTTCTGTTTTGATGATCACAATGTTTCGTATCAGAGCGTTCTCACCTGCCATGCTTTTGGGTTACAACTTAAGTGACGACCAAGTCACTATCGGCTGATGTGGCTCATCCATAATGTAATGTTATGGTGAGATCAAACACAGTTAGTCAAAGACCATGAAGCATAGCTATTGACCCCAGGAAGCCCTCTGTGGCTGCATTCGTGTGAGAGATGACGCCGCCTGAACAGGGGAGATTCGGTGTGGGCTTTGCCCGGGGCGAAACACGAGGAAATCACACGTTTATTAAAGGCCACTTACGCTTGCATCGTCTTTGAGTTTGACCCTCAATTGCTCCCGATATTTCAAGGAGCTCTTCTGACTTCTCTGATGTCTTTGGCAGTCGTCGTTCTTGTGGGGTTATCCGATCTCTAACATCGCCGGAGGAGCACTTGCGGACAGATACGGGAGCAAGCGAGTGATGGCGTGGGGCGTTGTGTTTTGGTCCATCGCCACCTTCCTCACTCCGTGGGCCGCCAGACACTCCACCGCCATGCTCTTGGCGATTCGCGCTCTTTTCGGCCTCGCAGAAGGCGTCGCCATTCCATCCATGAGCACACACTTGTTCCGGTGAACCACCTCTCTGTTTACGCTGACGGAAGCCAACTCCTTGGCATTGTACTGATTGACATGCTTTTGTTTTTGCTACAGATGGTTCCCGTGCAACGAGCGAGCCAGCGCCGTCGGCATTGCCATGGCTGGTTTTCATCTTGGAAACGTGATGAGCCTTCTTGTGTCGCCGATTATATTGTCAAGCGTTGGGATCAATGGCACTTTCGCCTTCTTCGCATCCCTTGGTTTTGTCTGGCTATCAGCGTGGACTGGGAGAATTCCAAACGATCCTCGCGATAGCCCTGACATCAGCCACTCTGAGCTGCAGTTGATTCGAGCTGGGAAGATCGATTCGAAGACGGAGAGTAGCCAACTTCCGCCCCTACGCCACTTGTTCTCAAAGCTACCCGCTTTGGCTGTCGTCCTTGCCAACGTCGCCAACAATTGGGTAAGCTTTTCTTTTTCTTCCCAAAAAGAAAAAGACTATATTAAGTTATATTAACTGAGATAACGAGTATACAGACAATTGTGCCCTGGAGATCGGCGCAATGGGAGAAGGCCAATGGCTAGTCTCCTCTCCAAACAAAAAGATATCCGTTTGTCCTCGCATGATTTGTAAGCTAATTAACACTTTGATTAGCCTCTTTAAACTTGAGAGATTATTATATTAGTAAACGAGTTCATCAGAAACAATGTCTCGCACTAGATTGGTAGTAATTCACGGAGGGACAGACTCCTTCAAAATGTAGACTGTAACCTCAGCGTCCAAGTGGATCTAGATTTTCTGCGCCCCATCCCTAGCAGTACACCTAAGCCTTCTTTCACAGCAAGCAATTCGGTATAAAGGCTTCCTTTCCCCCTGCAAGGCATCCCACCTATAAGAACACATCGACTTGTATCAGTTCAGATTAAGAAACCAATACCCCCTTCGGTTGCTTAGAAAAAAGAGCCATCCGAATTTAGCTTGTATAATTGGTTAAGCTTAATCCTCCACTTTTCCACACAGTCTGACTCTTGATGTTAAGGATACCCTACTGCTGAGTCTTGTCATTTTGACCCTCTATACAATAGTCTAAATCTGACTTCAATCAAGTCCTCATGCATAGAGCTAGCTTCAAAACGTAGAGAAGCAAGCTGCTTCTAACATGATCTCTGTGCGCCTTGCAGGGCTACTTTGTGCTTCTATCATGGATGCCGGTGTATTTTAAGACTGTATGTACCAGAATCCCTTCTTTATTCTGTTATAGTCTTTCTCTGCTTCCTTGCTGATTATTTCTGCTCTTGCCTTTTTCTAATTCTTAGGTTTACAATGTGAATCTGAAACAAGCGGCATGGTTCAGCGCTGTTCCCTTTGGAGTGATGGCCTTATCTGGTTACCTTGCAGGAGCTTCTTCAGACCTCATGATCAAATCTGGTTCCAGTATAATACATGTTCGAAAGCTCATGCAGGTTTTACTTCCATTCTAGCTGAAATCGTACTCTGAAACAGACACTCTACTTAATGAAACAGTAATTTTTTTTTAAATTGTAATTTCAACATCTACGAGGAACAGAGATAAATATGATCATAATGGCAATAAATATTGTGACGAACTGATTCAAGTATTGCTTTTTCTGTTGCCATGTTGCAGACAATCGGTTTTATTGGGCCAGCGGTGTCATTGTTGTTGTTGAGATATGCCCAAACACCAACATCAGCTGCAGTTCTCATGACCATGGCTCTGAGCTTTAGCGCTTTCAGCCAAGCTGGTTATTTTCTAAACATACAGGTATTCTTGAAACTGTTTCAATCACAAATTCTCAACTCAGGATGGTGGCTGATCTCCATCTACTTCTGTAGAAGCTTAAATCTGTGAATTTATGTGGTCTATCATGTACTGGTAGCTCATTTGAGCTTTTCTGTTGTGTGTTTACACAGGACATTGCTCCAAAACACGCAGGATTTCTTCTCGGTAATGTCACGTTTCATTAAGTCCAGCACCATCTATTGATTTTTTGAGTGACATAAACATATTGGTTTAAAGTAAAATTGCCTATGCTGTTGAACAACATGGCAGTTCTTAAATCGATGAACTGAGCAAATAACAGGGATTTTTTTTTTCTATCTACACAATCTAATTACCTCTGTGTTGTTTGCTGTTGTTGATCAGGAATCACAAATTCTGTTGGCACACTGGCAGCTATAATCAGCACTGTAGGGGCAGGCTTGTTCGTGCAGTGGATGGGATCATTCCAGGCCTTCCTCACACTCACTGCAGCCATCTACTTTGTCATTGCAATTTTCTACAACCTACATGCAACCGCAGAGCAAGTTTTCTTCTAATTCTTTAATTCTTCCTCTAGTGTTGGAACTGTTGTAGTCATCTTCATAAGCACAATAACAGTAGGTAAATGTAAGTAGAACCAACAAATATGGTTGTAAAATGAAGTTGTCCACTTGGGACATTCCTCGCGCGGTGAGCAAAATTCTTTATACACTACCAGTCCAAACAGCAAATTCCGCAGATAAATTTTGTGTAGAAAGAAAGAAAAGATCAAGTTATGATGTTCCAGAATCAGTGGGTTTTGTGAAGATGTGCAACTGATTATGATTTGAATAATGTGAATAGGAAGCCAAACATGATTTTTGATACTCAATGGCACATGTACCGAAAATTAGAGCAGTTAAAAACATGAATATTTTGTAACTTATTTCCTTTTTTTTTTTTTTCACTTTACCCTTGTCGTAGTTATTACATGTAAAATCCAAGACACAGGTGAAAATGCTAGAAGATGTGTATGAATTAAGAGCATTAGCTAGTCATTTGTTTTTCTCATTTAAATGTCATTAAATGCATTTAAAATCGACCATATAATACTAATTGTAGATGAATCAACAATCTCCAAATTCGATTAGATTACATATTAACAAGGTGAAAAATTATACTAAGATACATGACACAAGTAGTTAATGGACCCTATTGACGACGTCATTTTTTATATTTTTACACTTTTCAATAAGAAGCCAAATTATGAAGTGCAAAAAAAATGTTCAACTTATTAAAGATTTAAATTATCGTTATCTGAAGAACATCGTAAACAAGAGTTTAAATTCGAAATCATCCTAATTCTATCATTGCTCATTTAGGTCTTCATCCATGTGTTGTGTCTACTTTTATTAATCACATGTAGGATGTACAACGATAGAAATGTAGATGTGACTTGAAATGACTTTAGATAGATGAATATTAAATTCACAATTTATGATTATTTTACAAAATAATTCTACATTTATCGGTGAGAATTAAAACGAAACTAATAATAATTACCACGTCACCGAATTAAAGACACAATGCTCAGCTCCAAGGCCAGATGACGTCTGGTAGAGAGATGAGGGTGGTTCTTTGTGTTTGATTTCTCGGTCGCTCCCGACACCCGAGTACGAGCGAGCGAGCATGAATTGCCGGAGCCTGGAGGAATACTGGGCCTTCTACGTGAGCCAGCACTCGAAGCCGTCCACGCGGCGGTGGCACTTCGGCGGCACCCTTGCCGCCCTCCTCTGTCTCCTCCTCGCCGCCCTCCGCGGCAGCTGGCGCTTCCTTCTCCTCGCCCCGCTCCTCGGCTACGGCCCCGGCTGGTACAGCCACTTCTTCGTCGAGGGCAACCCGCCCGCCGCCTTCGACCGCCCGCTCTGGTCCTTTCTCTGCGACCTCAAGATGTTCGCCCTCATGCTCGCCGGGCGGATGGACCGCGAGATCAAGCGCCTCGGCAAGAGACCCCTCCTCTAGGTCTTCTGATCCCCCATCGGATCACATCACGATCCTCCGCTTCTCTTCTCGTTGTTGGTAAACGATCGACCATCCCATCAATCATTCCCTCCCTTTCTCGATTTGTGGCCCGTCTAATTAATTCCTTCTATGATCGCCGCGCACCTGATCATGATGATGATGATGAATAATGGTCTATCTCTGATTCGATTTTGCCATTACTTTCTTCTTGATTCTCCTGCTTTCTGCTCACAATGTTTTTTTATTGATATTTAGATGATCGGGATGAGTCCAATTGGATATTATCCTGTTTGAAGCTTGTGATTAGCACAGTACCGTTCGCCTTTTGTTCTTTGAAGTATATTAGTTCACATCGCTTAGGAGAGTTGCTTGTTGGAATTGGTATGTTAATGTTAGTAAGAGTAGGGTAGCAGGATCGACGGACGAGGAGACCTAAGGAGGCGTCTGCTTCTAGGGCACAATATTGCTTATTCTTTTATTATTTTGAAGTAAGAACTTTGTGTTTTAGAGAGGAGAAGTTGTTCTTTGTATCAGATGTGTTCATTAATCTTAGTATAAAATTAGTTGCATCTAAGCATGAGAAATTGATGATTGTATTACCAATCAATGGTGCTTTGCCTCTGATGGTAAGCAATGTTCACAGTACTCTTTGATAAAGACCTCTTTGACTTTTTGGTATGGGATGGATTAGAAGCATCCTTTCTGGTTTAGGCATGAAGAAAAATCGACTTTTCACTTATGTTCCATTAATTACCTATGATAATTTATATATCTTTTATCAGAGGAGATGCTTCGGAGTTTTCTCTTAGTTCGTTTAAGTTCTTGTGAGAAGGTTACAGTAGACCTAATCAACAAATATATGACGACTTGTCAATAGATTTCTATAATGAACAACTAGAGTGATTTTTTCAAGTAGTGGATAAACATGGGACAGAGTGATTTTGTTCAGATTGTATGCTTTACTAGATCATTCTTTGAGACTTTTACATCTTGTTGTCTCTGACTCTTACGTTCATTAGGTTACTCGTCTTATATTAATTGTTCCCGAATCATCAGTAGAGATGCTTTCTGCTTGTTTTCTCCTGGTACTTCATCCGTGGACAATAATTTTAAAAGTTTATGACCTCACTAATCTACATGGGCACAGATACAAGAACGTGATGGGCATCCAAATGACTAATTCGGAAGGGAGATTAAACGGAAATGCAGGGTATGTGTGAGAAGATTAATTTATTGAGAAAAAAAAATATAACACTTGAATTGTAATGTTGTGAGAATGTGAAATGTTGACATTTATGTTCATAAGAAGCCTTAGAATGATAAAAGATCCAGTTTTTATCTTAGCATGTTGCGTTGAGTATTGAAATAGGATAACTAGAGAGTTTGAGAAACAACTGACTCATAGATTAGCGGATACATGTCTGACATGTCTTGTGAGTTTAATCAAAAGAATCCATATGTTAATGGCCTAACAATGTTGTCGTTCAATACAGTCAGGTATTTGTATGTCTTTCAATGTAATCTCGAAATACAATCTTTTTCCAACTCTGATTCAGATTTTGTCTTGATTAATGTGTTTTACAGGAGTGACTCTCTGTACTAATATAGTTGAGACGATCCTTTTATGGTTATACGATGACGTATTCTTCATTTTTGATTTCATATGCTAACAACGTTTTAGAAGCATCGATTGCAGACATAATATGAGCGCCATCTGAATTGCTATGGCCTAAACAGTAATGCTGCTGATCATGAATGTTGAGGGTTGACGTTTCGAGTCGATCCGCTATTGGTTCTCTGGTTCCTTCCTGTGGTCTGTACTTAATAGTTGCAGAATGCTGTATGGTTAGTCGTGCATCTTGTATAGTTAGTATGTTTAACGTTATAGACCGTTTGCTCGAGATTATATATTAAAAAAGGGTACACTCGGTGCACGAGGCTCTCGCCAATGCAGAGTCTGAGGAGGCTCAAGATTATACATTCTGCAGTTCAATTGTTGCTTTGCTACCCTTTGGATAATATGTTATATCAATTACAGTCTGTTCAATTGTTTCTTTGCTACCCTTTGGATAATATGTTATATCAATTACAGTCTGTCTGGGATTTTGAAGTGCCTCATGTTTTAATCAGACCTGCATGCCATTAATCAGTATTCATGTTTTATTACTGGCACCTTGTCATCTCAATTGAGGCTTTGCTTAGTTTCATCCTGGAACAGCATGAGAGCTTGTAGCTAAATATTTTGCTTAGTATCCACTTGTGATCCTGCTGGATTTTATTTGATTGCCGTATTTTCTGTATTATTCAGTCAATTAGAATCATGTTGCTAAATATTGATAACATGCAGAAACTGTGTTTATAATGTCTACAGTGATAAAGGCAGTCCTTTTCAATCCATCAGACTGCAATTACAGAGCCAATTGGTTGCAATCGAATTAATTAGATCACGCAGAAAGAAATCATTCCTCACAAAAGAAAAAACAAAAACATTGTGATTTGTTTGCTCCTTATCTAATTCTCTAGGATCATCAGGACTTAATTCAGCCTACTTGCAGCAGATTACAACTACAGTCTGTGAGCAAAATTTGGTAGGGTATTTTATACACCTGATCGTTGTTGGATTGCAGGACTCATCAGCTGGCAACTCGAGAGCTTCATCATCTTTACAGCCCGTGAGCTTCTCAGAACTGCCTTCCCTTCCTCCTCCTCCTCCGTCCTACCTGCTTTTGTATTCCTTCGTGCACAAACAACCGGGAAGAGGGTTGGCATAAAAGCACTCCTCGTGTCGTCGTGTTCGATGGACCTTCCTCTCGTACGGGCCCCCGAGCCTGTCGGCGTGATCCCTCTTCACCTGCTGCTGGAACTCCCCCCAGCTTATTCCACCCGAATCCAGCTGATCCATCAGCTTCACAAGCCTCTGCCTGAGAAGACATTTGCTGGTTGAAGACAGCTGCTCGGTGGCGAAATCATGGAGGAGAACGGCATCGCGTACCTGTCCGGGTTGATGGTCTTCCGAAACCCCGCCAACCTTCGATGCCCCTGCACTGCTTTGGCCATGTTGCCGTCGTAGGTGTACACGAACACGTCGCTCCTGAGGGCGACGATGTGGTCGAGGGCGGCAAGTCTGTTCTGGTACATCTGCAGCGGCGCCAATTCCTCGGCGGATGCCAAGCTGCGGTGGGTGTGGATGTTGGGGTACTCTGCTTTCAACGCGCCCATGCTGTTGGCGCCGTAGATTTCTCCGGCCACGATGTAGATGCTGGTGGCGAAAGGGTAGCCCATTGCCTTGAGGAACAAGGCGGCTTCGCGCGGTGTCATCGGACACCCTCCTTGGACTCGCTTCTCCCTGCTGTTGATGTCCTTCTCCTTCCAGTGCCTCACGCTGTACCTCATCACTCTCAGCTCTTCCGCCTCCGCCGCAGACAGGTTGTGGCTGCAGCCGGTAAACGACAGCATGTCCTTCTCGTATCTGCAACATCGTCATTCTAAGTTGTGTGTCCGAACGAAGACGAAGACTTCGTCGACGTCGACGTAAACGCTGTTTAGAGCTTGCCTTAGATGGAGTGCGATGTAGTGATTGCTGCCATTCCTCAACCTGTCAACAAGTCTCCGTCCTATCCGTTCGATGTCTCGTGTGTATCGAAGTGCTTGGTAGGTGGCACGGCAGCGGAGTCTCTGAATGGAAGGCGGGAGGCCATTGTTCGCGAGGCGCGAGTCGGTGTGCGTGAACTCTATCACCTTGCGCCTGCTCAAAATATTACCAAAGCTTCTGAAGTAGGAAACCTGCAACACGAGCAAGTGTCCTTCAGTGGAAGCAAGGAAGAAGAAGAAGAAGAAGAATTCCCCTACCGGGTAAAGCAAACATGACCTTAGACCACGAGATGGGAGCTCTCTGAAGCGGCTTGATCTTGGCGTACTGTCGTGGGAGGGAGTCGACCACCACGATGTCACCTTTGAGAGCTTCCTTGAAATGCTTCACATCAAATATGTCTTTGAATTCACTGCGGAGCTCAGCAGGAAAGAATCGTCTGAGACTGTGATGCCAACAAAGATGCTCCTAAAACCATTCGAGTACCTTGGATCTGTCCAGAATGATTTGTGGTCTAAGAGGGGCACCACGAGCGTTGCGTTCATTAGTTTTGCTATAGCAACCATGTCACTTATCTGCAACTCGGATTTTTTTCTTCTTGTTTTAGTATTAATCTCATAGAATTTAGCTCGAATTTAGAAGAAGAAGAAGAAGAAGAAGAAGAAGAAGAAGAAGAAGAAAGAAGGAGAACACGTACTCCCATTCTCATCTGATTGAGTCCTCCATTGGCATGAACTATTAGATAACCAGCTGTCGCATTACACGTCTCTATAACGAGCATTTCATCGAATGTTATGGATAAAGTTGACGGAGGAAGAATCGTAATTCCAAAATTACAATAGAAAAATACTCGGCATGGCAAAACTTACTGCAGTCACCCTTTGGACGAGATATGCATTGTTCGTAACCATTGTTGTTTGGATTCATCCATATCTCAGGAATCTGTACACAGAACAAAGAAGAACAGCTTCAGAGTCAATGCTAGAAAGTTTATTTATGAGTAATTTCGAAAGGGCTGAGGAACAAATCATACACAAGAATTGAATTATAAGTGGATTAAGATGTTAATAAAATAAATATTTATAGAAGAGAGACCATCTTAAAATCAATGATGCAACGATGGTGATGGTGATGGTGATGGTGATGGTGATGGCACGACCGAGGCCCTTGGCATTCCATGATCATTACTAACCCAATGCCATCAACTCCGTTAATTGCAGAGAACATAAATGCAAGCATATGTGTATGAGTAGGCTGATACGAAAGCAGAATCGGAATACCGGAGGATTTGGCCTTCTCTTTATCCTGGTCGTGTTCTCCAGCGTCCAACTCGACCACTCGTCACGAACGTTGCCGATCTGCACCACCACGTCCTTCCTCTCATGGGAAACACCGACGCGTGCAGTGCCTAAGAGCACGGTGGCAGCCAGGACCAGGAGGAGAACCAGCGGCAGCAGCCTCATCCAGGCGTTAATACTCCCCCATCTCCCCCCGCCGCCCTTGCCATGCCTAAGCAGCAGCCTCCGCGAGACGGTACGCTTCAGTGCGCCTATGGGTCCTGCAGCCGGCGCGTGATCGTGATCGTGGGCGTCGGCGTCCTCGTCTTCCTCGTCGTCCGCGACGGTCCTCTCCGGATCAGTGAATTCCGGCAGCCGCCGCCTCGTCGGGCCGGAGACGATGGGGTTGTTGGTGGTTGCGCTCGAGGGAATGGCGCCGGCGGCGATCATCACCATGGCCGGTTGCACCAAGGGGGGTGGCCGGGAGTAGGGATTGCAGGTGGCGAGCGAGGGGTGGAGAAAACCCCGGGAAACTTCACGGTGATCGTTGGCGTCCGGGAACCGTCTCCTCTCTCTCTCTCTCTCTCTCTCTCTCTCTCTCTCTCTCTCTCACTGGTTCTGGTTTTGCCGCGAGGGTGGGAGAGGTGTTCCGGAAATAGAGGAGTTGGGACGTGGAGAGGTCAAGAGAAGCGCTCACTCGGGCTCACGTTTCTGCTTCTTCGGCGCGGGTATTGACTACGCCGTCTCCGACTAGGAGATGTAACCTTTAGTCGTGTGTATTAATAGCCAACTTGAATCTTAATTTAGGAATACTTAATACTCACCCCGTCCGCCTATTTATATTAGTTTGTACATTTGCTCGTTATCTTCCACAAAGAATGAATGAAAGAATATACGATCTTGAAGCATATTTCATACAAAAATTACATCTCGGGCAAAGGGGCGAAAAGTAATATCTGATCACGGCATTCTTTCATAATATAATAAGATCTTTGTCATAATTAATATCTCGACGAAGCATTTTACTCGAGATCTATAAGCTCAATAAATATTTTATAGTCAGTATAAATTATAAATATATATTTTATAAGTTCTAAACGATCGTATGATAAAGGGTCCAAGATGATCTACTATATATCTCTATAAGTGTCCACATGATATAAACTTTATTTACAAGCCTAAAATTACTATCAAAGTCAATCAAAATAAGACTGCTAAGCCTACTATCAACCTTCTACATGTGTAAAACATGAACAAAATAAAAAAACATAGACATATATGAGCATTACATCGAATACCTTGTTTATAGCTTTATTGATGACATTTTTTCTCACTTATTCTTTCAACGTCATCGTCAAAACCTTTGTAGACATTGTATCTCCTCACCTTTGTTGAGCCTTCAATATTCTGTTCTAGCTATAACATGTCTCTTGGCTCCCAACTATTCTCTATCGTTATTGTTGAGTAGTCGAACTTTGATCCGTCATACTGCTTTAAATCGCCAATGACTCTAACTCTGGTATAGGGTCGTTCGAGTCATATTAATCCTTGTTAGTTATTGCAGATCTTTCAGATGAAGGAAAAATTAATCCTTATTATGCGCTAGTCTCTTAAATGTCTCGTGCCGCTTAAATTGGATAGATGTATGTTGGAGTTTTAACGAACATCACCTCATAGACTTTGAGATTTTTTGGGTTTTTCCTTCACAAAATTTACTTATCAATTCATATTTCACTTAGTTGTCACTTTCAAGTAGGTTCACATCACATTCACTTTTGATTGATATTTTATTAGAAAATAAAGCAGACAGTTTACTCTCAATAGCATCGATCACCATTGGTGAGGATTTAACAACTATTGTCTTGTGCTAAGTAACATTTGAACCTATGTCGAGCTCCTCTGTTGGATAAAAAAGAGAATTATGGTATTCGGTTTCGTCCAATTTCTTAACGGTTGAAAAGACAAAGTTTACTCAACTTCACCTATCTCTTTGAGGGTTATACTTCATGCATCAAGCTGGTTATTAGCCTTTACCTGCTCTTTACTCACATTCCAAGACACTCAAATTGTTTGCAATCATTGCATCAAGTTAGCTATTATGATTCACCTTCTCATTACCATCGAATTTCTAGAATGCAAGAAGTTCTCACTCTAACTTAGAGTAAGTCTCTAATAGTTTTGGTTGCCTATGGAATTGCACCATCTTCTTACCTCCATGAGAGCAAGGGATCGATGACTCCATGTGTAATACCCCTAATTAGTCCCACATCGAAAGTGGACAAGATTAAGATTGACTTATAAGGGTCTGATGAGTGTATTATTATCAACTTCAGCTTAAGCATTTTGGTCAGTGATTTAGACCAAAACGAAGTTGATAGGCATGGTGAGAGGGCTCGAGTAGGAAAGGGCTACCTATAGACGGAGTCAGAGGACTCGTCACAGTGTGGAGCCATCAGCCCTCACTGCACCCCTTAAGGCTTAGCAATATAGTCCTTTAAGCTTGGTCCTGGTCCACTATATATCGATTTCCTTACAAGTACCCACGCGACATAACTTTCATTTACAAGCCTAAAATGACCATAAAAACTAACTAAAATATGACTGTCAAGCCTATTGTCAGCCCTCTATATGTTGTGTAAAGAATGAATGAAATTAAAAGATAGATATACACACACATTATATTGAATACACACATTATAATGAAAGAATGAATGTTAAATGTTCTGAACCATTTAACATGTGCCCCGGAGCATGTCTTGGGGAGGAGGGGACAAATGGTAGGGAACACATTAAAGATTAAGCACCATCCGACACTTGTCTCCAAATGTAGGCTGGCATAGAAAAAAAAATATCTCAGTCACTTACCACTTATCCACTCCCGTGGACAATAGTTTAAGGGAGGTGGTTCGAGTCCGTCTCCCCCTTGTCGCTCACGTGGATAATGTTGAATCCTAGATTTTTATGATGAAATAAATTGATAAGTTTATGGATTAATAAACATTTAATATAAGTGACATAGGAGAAACTTTGATTATGGACTTGAATCATCGAAAGGCAAATCGTTGAAGTAAAAGAATCAGATGGTGAGTTGGAGAGCATCGTATCAAAGATTGGATGTTGAGCCGAAGGATAGGTCGACGTGCTGGAGGATGGACTTCATGTCAGAAGTTCGAGCATTAGGCCATAAGGATCAGGTATTGCGCCAAGAAGATTGAATGTTGTGGAAGGTCAACATATCAATAGATTGGGCAATACGTCGAAGGAAAGGATGATGCATTGAAGGCTCAGACAAAGTGCCGAAAGAATAGATAACATGTCAGACAACGTGCCAAAGGCTTCATGATTATAATTAGAGTTATTATATCTTGATCGAAGTTATTCAGAACTAAGGTCTGAACTATGCTAACTTAACTAAGAGCTCATTAGGCTTGAACCAAGGTCAAATTGGGCCTTGGAAGGCCAATTCTGTAACCTGGGGTTGGGTTGGGAGATGGCATCACTATATTGGTGGTACCGCTTGAGTGCTGGAAAGTACTATTTGTGCTTTTTCAAGAACCCTGACGGTAGTACTACTCAGTAGCATGGTGGTACCACTAGAGCCCAGATTCCCGGGCTCTATTTGGTGGTAGTGTCACCCAACGCCGATAGTAATACCGCTAGTATCTCGAAAACTCATGGATTTAAATTTTTGGCTTAAGTTTTGAAGTCATTTGAGGTCTATAAATATCTCACTCATGCTTGCTTGGTATACACATAAAAAACTTATGAATTGAAGTGTGTAAACTCTTTTAAAAAGTATTGAGTCTCTTCCTCATTGAGTTTAGAGGTGCATGATTTTTTTGTAAAAGAAAGATATAAATGTTCTCTCCCGAAAGAAAAAAGAGTTGTAACAAGAGTAGTTAATCTTCACCCATTAAAAAGAAGATCGGTAGTGAAAGCCAATTGCTTTGTGGGAAGAGGAATCGAGAGTGGACGTAGGTCGGGATGATCGAACCATTATAAATTTAGTTTATATTTTTTTATAATTTTCTTTACTATTATTAACTGATTTAGTTACTCATTATCTTTACTCATATTTTAAGTTAAACGTATTTCTACTATATTGTTTGATCAAAAATTTTTAAATCAAAACTTTATTTTGAAAGTACTAATTCACCCCCTCCCCTCTTCTAAGTGCCTTTACGATCCTAACAGACAAAATACTAAAAAATAATGTTAGAGTAGTTGCAAGCTTTCTCTTCTACAAATGATGTATAAGAGTTAACCCCCGGTGCTATATCGAGTGACTCTCTTTTAAAGAAAAACTCAACCCGAGAAAGGACTTCGGAGTAAATTGAATGTTAGAGGGATTATATCGGAAAACTTCTTCTAACATCAATCTTAGTGTATACGATGTCTCGGAGCCACTCCAGATCTACTTGGGAGCCACTTAGAATACTCTTATACCTTTAGGTTCGAACCGCATCGGGTTGACTCGGACATCGACGACAATATCCCTTAAGAGTATTGATCATCACGACATAAAATAAAATTAATTTTTTAATCTAAGTAAATAGCCTATAGATTATTTTTATAAATAAATAGTTTGAATAATTACCATCTTCACACCCAAAGTTCTATATTACGACTCATAGAGTTAATTATTCAGTAATTTAAATAGTTTTTAGAAATTATCCTTATTCTTATAAATTAATACTATAAAACTCCTCCAATACTCATTAGAAATTTATCAATATGTCAAAAGTTTGTTAAATAGATTAGTCAATCAAATCATTTCTTAATATTCTAAATTCTAGTAATTAGTTAGCCAAACTCATACACTTAAAACATCCTTACATTAGTTTCTTAAAATTTCACTATCTAGTCTTAGTAATTTAATCTACTATTTTTCTCTTCTTTCATTTTTCATAACAAATATCTTTATCATCAATCTATATTCACGGAACATAAATTTATAATTCTTATACATAATTCTTATGCCTTCTATTAACTTCATGATTTTTTTTACTACTTGATCATTCAAATCTTTATAATATAATATTTTTACTTTGGATTCTCAAACAATAATATCTAAATCAAAATTTTCTTTTGATTTAATCATTGAAAACACCATGAAGGCTTATAAATAATATTGAAGGATACAAATACTTATAATATTAAAAATATCTTCTCCTAAAACAAATTTTAAATCTGTTTGCATTTATAATATTATTTTTAGGATCCTTATATATTGTAATACCTATACTATCCTTTTATAATATAATCTTTTTTACTTTGAATTTTTGAATGACATCATCTAAATCAAAATTCTTTTTTGATTTGATCATTCCTTCACATGAGGGACATAACCATTTATTACATTAAAAATATCTTCTCCTAAAATAAATTTTAATATTATAATTGTGTCTCTAAAATATTGTCACATTTATAGTGTTGTTCATAACATCCTTAATTAT